AGAGAGAGAGAGAGAGAGCATGAGAGAGTAGGTAAACTCAATTTTGTGTGTATGTGTGTGTGTATGTCATGTATGTATTACTGTATTACCACAGTGACCAACTGTTGGTGTGAGTGTGTTTTTATGTCAAACACTGTGGTCTGGAATGTTTGCGTTCTTATTTCTTAGACATCTAGTCAAAAAAAGACAAAGTCAGAGACAAAGAAAGAAAGAAAGAAAGAAAGAAAGGAAATGAGAGAAAGAAAGAAAGAAAGAAAGAAAGAAAGAAAGAAAGAAAGAAAGAAAGAAAGAAAATGAGAGAAAGAAAGAAAGAAAGATAGAAAGAAAGAAAAAAAGAAAGAAAGGGAAATGAGAGAAAGAAAGAAAGAAAAGAGAAAAGAAAAGAAAAAAAGAAGAAAAAAAGGACCAATAACTCCAGCAGTGAGTGAAGCAGGGGGTCAAGCGGTGTGCCATCAACATCTCTTCCTCTCTCTCCAGTTTAAACACACAGTTTTTTATCTGCTCTTTAAAAATCTGTCCCTGTATACTGTATGACTGTAAATGTGAATATGAACATGCCACTCCCTTCAGCTCCAGTCAGGACAGGCCAAGATCCTTCTCCACGTCATCCATCTACAACAGACCTTTTCCTGAACCCCAAATCCGTTGTTTGTTTCCACACACTAGGAGGTCACCAACACAATGCATTGTGGGATGCCAAGTGCCAGGCCACTCAATCATCCTGGGGTTGAGCAAGCATGTGCGTTATGTATTCTTTATGAAGCCACAATACGCAGCCCAGCCTTCAAGCCAAACAAGCGGCCAGCACATCAGTCAAGCTCACCTCTTCGCACCATACACAACACTGGGCAAATATAAAGAGCAGAAATCAAACATGAATGGCGGGGGGCCGTGACGAATGGGGCGGTAAGGAACTTAAGCTCCGGATAAACGCAGAATGTTCAATGTCCGCCTGCACAGTCTGGATCTTTGATGGAAGCAGTGTAGAGTAACAGAAGAGAATAATGAGAGCACTAAATCACAACAAACACGACTGCTGCTGGTGCTGCTGGTGGTGGTCTGGAGCGGCCAGAAGTGCCTTTTTCATGCAAAAAGATTTATCATTGTAGCAACTAAACATTTTTCGAGTGAAATGTGAGCGGCATGCACTGAAAAAAAAAGATTCATTGGATTTACTATGTTGTTATTTTTTTTTAATGCAAGCAACTTATATAGGCTGAATATAAACAACCTAATTAAATTTAGTAATGTTCTTTATAAAGTACTAGAGACCCAGACTTAAGTATAAGTACAAGTGCTCTATCAAAAAAGTGACTTGAGTAGAAGTTAAAGTGCTCTTTAAGCATCATACTTAAGTGGAAGTACTAAAGTATTCAACATTGTTTGTACTTAAGTATTGCAATTAGTTTATTTTAAAATTTACTACTCAAGTATTAAAAGTAAAAGTATTGTGGAACATAGTTATTAAAGAAAGCAGTCAAAAGACATCATATTTTGTTGTTTATTTTAAACATCTTTTTTGGGGCACGTGATTAAGCAAAACAAAAAAAAACATGGCTTATGAAAACGCTTTTCTCTCACGCTTGAACCACAGATCTGAAAGATTATAACAGCTTTAACACACACCTTTGAAAATTGTATGTCACAAAAACACTCAAAACACTATTGAAACCCATTTTCGGTGAGCAAACTACCAGTTGTAAACAGAGTTCTAAAGATTCTACTGGAAGATGCTGGTCGCTATGGCCCCCTCCATGCAGTAACCAAGTAAAAAGGTCTTTAATTGTAACGAGTAGAGGTGGGAATCTACACTGGTCTCACTGTTCGGTTTGGTCACGATTATCATGCCATTGATTCATTTCATTTTAATATCTCTGTGCATTGATCATGCTTTCCATACACAATTAGATTTTTCTTCACAACACAATATTTTTTTTATCAAAATCTATAAATGTATTAATATATGATTTGTGATCCAATTTTGTTCTTTAATACAACAGTAGGATATAAGAACTGTACCCTTAATTTGACCCGCTCAAAGAAAACACTCTTTCTGAATGCATCAAACAAAACTCCTTAACGAATGTAAATATTCTCCCGCTTCTTTTTTGAGCGCAGACAGGCAAGGTCTTACACCCCTATGATTGGTTATTGTCTTTACCTGCTCAACAGAAAGGACTGCGATCTGCTTTAGAAATTAAAGCACTGTTCACTGATGGAGAGAAGAACAGCCACGGTTACAGTCTATATGCGCATAATACGCAGTTATCACAGGTTATCCACAATAGACACAGTGAAGAAAACTTGCACCTCTGGCACGCTTGTGTCTGAATCCATAAGTATCACTTTAACAGCCAAGAGGAGAGAAAAAGTTACCTCAAAAACAGGCCAGCGGGTCAAATGTCCAAAGTGAGAGAGAGATGTATAGATTGAGTTTTACAGCATTTCTCTGTAATAGTGAAATAGCGGCTTGTGTGCTGTGCTGCCTTTATTGTAGTAAGAGCGTTATTTACTCACCCTCGCCTCCTTCGCCATACTATTCTACTGCAACATCACGCATAGGAGATAAATGACGTCAGTACGTAATAACCGGTTATGATCTATTACTGTACCGATATCAATAATTTTGACACCCCTAGTAACAAGTAGAGATGCAGCACATAAAAAAATCTATAAGAGTAAAAGTATTAAACTCATTAAAAATATGTTCTGAAGTTAAAGTAGAAAGTAAGAGGAAAAAACAATACTCCAGTAGAGTACAGATACTGCCTTTTCGTACTTAAGAACAGTAGTGAAGTAGTTCTACTTCGTTACTATACATCTGCTGTATGTGTTTGAGTCTCCTAAAGCATAATATGCTTGATTAAGTTAACTTAATCGATTTGTGTTGAGACATTATGAAGGAATTGAGTGGAACTCTTCATTTTTACAGCGTACTTGATTCAATTACAAAACCGTAAAATCAAATGTTTGCCAAGATAGGTGTGTAAAACTTGGCAAAGAAACTTTTTCAACAAAAATTTTTCATCTGCAAAACAAATGCTAGTAATGCCATACAGTACACATCATTTCTTGGTCAGCAGAGATGGATATCAAGTTGCAATGACATTCAGTAATAATCAAATCCACGACTATCCATATGTTCTGATTGGCTGCAATTGTGTCGTTTCCTACAACTTCTTCCATTTATGCAAGAACAGAAAAATGTCTTGAATCTGGACTCATGTTGTATGAAGGCAGGTTAGACGTAAAACAACTGCCTTGCTCAATTCTAGGCACGGAATCCCATTTACATGAGAATGTGGACAGCCGGCGTTTTAGATATGGAAATACATTTTAGCAGATGGAACTCTATATGGTTCCCTAAAGTGCACATGAACTTACATCAGTGAAAAACAAGATGAAGAGTTTCGCAACACATTCATTCTGACACACACTTCTGGAAGAGAACGCTGCCCGATTGCAGATGTGTGGGGATATTAACCATTGGTGTAACAACACTATAGAGAAAGAAGTTCGGAAATGTATATTTAGCTACAACTGGGTTTTACCCACAAAACTCTGTTAAATTTTTGCGGTTTGATTCAGTAAGGTACTGGATTTTGATTGGCAGCATATTCATGACACCAATTTCCCATTCCAGCACATCCCAAAGCTGGATTGAGATCTGGTGACTGTGGAGTGGTGTTGTCAAAAACATTGATACTTCGATAAGTATCGATACTGGAATATTAAAAACAATACAATCTTTCAGTTGGATAGTTTCAGTCCCGACTTTGCTATCTCACGCTCTCGCCACAACACAAACTCCTCGGTATTCAGTGAAAAGACAGCAAGGGCTGTTTTACCAGTTTTAGTTGAGAAGGCCTTTGGTTTGTGAACAACAGCTGTTTCGAGTCTCAGCTAGGTCAGTTGTCATTTCTGTGTGGAGTTTGCATGTTCTTCACGTGTTTGAGTGGGTTTCCTCCTGGTGCTCTGGTTTCCCCCACAAGTCCAAAGACATGTGGTACAGGTGAATTGGGTAAGCTAAAATTGTCCATAGAGTATGTGTGTGAATGAGAGCGTATGCAGCTGGAAACATATGCTGGATAAGTTGCCGGTTCATTCCGCTGTGGCGACCCAGTGTCTAAGCTGAAAAGAAAATGAATAAATGAATGAATGCTGTGACTTGACGCTTGTGTGGCGTCTGCGATTGGATGACTGGATGACAGTGAGAGTGAGATGAAGTTTCTGAAAAATGTTTGAATATTGGCTCATCTAAATTGACCATTATCTCAATTGAAACTGGAATGGTGCCAGTCAGATGATGCAACTTTCAGTTTTGGAAAAAAAGCGCGTTCAGTGTTAAAACACTCAACACAAGTAGTTGGTGGAAAAAAACACACACACTCGAAACACTCTTGTAGGCCTATCTGTTATTATTTATTTAACATTTAATACGCAATTATAAGTGCAAAAAAGAAAGGCATAACTTCAGAAAAAGTAATCATTGCAGTTTACGCAATTTCTTTGGTTGCTTTTTTCTCTGCAGTTGGCTTGTCAGTTGTGCGGTATTGCTGAATCATGTTTGTTTTAATCGGAAAATACGTTTTTATAACCTAATTATTTTGAGTAATTATATATTATATGTGGCGTGGTTTCCTGGCAGTTTTGAAAATGGTAGCAAATATTGATATTTTTCTATTTTTATTGGTATCAAAGTTTCATAGTTATAAATTCCAGTATCTTGACAACACTACTTTGGAGCCCATTTGAGTACAGTGAATTCAATGTCACGTTTAAAACACTAATTTTAGTTGTAGCAAATGATGACTACTTTCAGCAGGATAACATGTCATCTTGCAAATAATCGGAAACTAGTGTAAATTTTAACTTTTGGGTCAACTATCCCTTTAATGAGCCGCTGAATTAGCAGGTTTTGTATCTACTAATGAGGCCATTTAAGTAGACACAGTGATGTTTTAGACCAAAGTGTGAAGTTGAATGGTGAATTTGATTACCTTTCTTAATAAGCTGTGCTCTCTCTTTCTGCATCACGTCCATTTCTCTCGTCAGTGCCTTCTTCTGTCTCTCCAACTCACACCTCAGAATCCCAATGCGCAGCTGCATGCACTCCCTTTCCTTCTTCTGCAGATGGATAAAAAGTGAAGGATATGTCAATGTTATGGATTAAGAATTTCTGTTTAATAACATTTTTTTTAAATTTACTAGCTTATTTTAAAGACAACTACAAAAATATTACATTCATATCAAAGCATTTAAGTCTCTTTTGCAAAATAGAAAGTGTTTTGAGCTGTTAGTTTTCAAAAAAGCATAAAAGCATGAATTATTTAAATACATTAATTTACCATTTACTATAGTCACGACCATGCAAACTACACAAATGGCATATTGCGAAATCTATATGCATGAGCAATTATGCAAACACAATGTTTCATAACAGAGTATTATCACCCCCTACTGGCCTGGCATGCATAAATTAATTAATTCATTTTATTTTTAGGTGGTCATTTTATTAATCTGGTGTCGCCACAGTGGAATGAACCGCCAACTTATCTAGCATATGTTTTATGCAACGGATGCCCTTCCAGCTACAACCCATCACTGGGAGGCCTGGCATGTATTTTCAGTTATTTTTGCATCATTCTGACAACATAATTTTGTTTGCTTTGTAAACTTTTTAGAACATGTGTGTAACAAAACTTTTATTTCATTAGATATCAGCAAAACATTTTTATATACTTTTTTATATTTTATAAAAAGCATATTTATTTAAAAGCAAACATGGCCAATTAAAGAAATAAATACTTTTTCAATAGAAACATTACATTATTTTCAAACAGACGTTCATTTATACTTATTTAATCAAACAATGGGTCAGTTTACACAAAAATATTAGGCAGTACAATTGTGTGTGTTTTTTTAAATGATAATAACAATATATTGTCTGATCATCAAGCATGTTGAAACTCTTTTTGAAGGACCGTGTGATGCTTCAATCTGAAGTATACTTTATGGGAGATAGTCTAGACATAGAGCAGTTAGTCTAGACCAGCTAGTCCACAGCTAACAATCAGGCACCTGTAGAGTTAATGCGTTCCAGTGAAATATACAGTATACAAAGAAAATGGAGCGGGTGCTTTTTTAAAATGTATGATGGACATCAGTAACAGTTATTTGTCTTAATCTGAATAAGACAATAATATAATTACGTGAGTGCTTTTTAAATGTTGGGTCACCACCAGGCTACGTTTCCTGCTTTTTTTGTTTTTGTTTTCGGGGGGGGGGGGGGGGGGGGGGGTCAATATGTCAATATTTATGTAAGATTTTCCTTCTAGCATGTACTGTACAGTTAAAGTCATAATTATTAGCCCCCCATTGAGTTTTTTTTCCCCCTTTTTAAATATTTTCCAAATGGTGTTTAATATAGCAAGGAAATGTTCATAGTATGTCTTATAACGTTTTTTTTCTTCTGGAGAAAGTCTTATTTGTTTTATTTCGGCAAGAATAAAAGCAGTTTTTACTTTTTTAAAAACCATTTGAAGGTCAATATTATAAAGCCCCTTTAAGCTCATTTTTTTTTTCTCGATATTCTACAGAACAAACCATCGTCATACAATAACTTGCCTAATTACCCTAACCTGCCTAGTTAACCTAATTACCATAGTTAGACTTTAAATGTCACTTTAGCTGTATAGAAGTGTCTTGAAAAATATATAATAAAATATTATTTACTGTCATCATGGCAAAAAAATAAAATAAATCAGTTTGTAGAAATGAGTTATTAAAACTATTATGTTTAGAAATGTGTTTAAAAAAACTCTCAGTTAAACAGAAATTAGAGGAAAACTAAACGGGAGCTAATAATTCTAACTTTAACTGTAATTAAGAATTGGCTTAAACTGCAATTTCAAAAAAAAAAAATTGTAACCAATTTGGCGTTGTTGCCAAGTTGTGCATGTTAGATTTTATTTAATTAGTATTTTGTTTGTTTTTATTTATAATTCTATGCACTGAGATAGACGCAGTGACGCAGTAGGTAGTGCTGTCGCCTCACAGCAAGAAAGTCGCTGGTTCGAGCCTCGGCTGGGTCAGTTGGAATTTCTGTGTTGAGTTTGTATGTTCTCCCTGCGATTGCGTGGGTTTCCTCCGGGTGCTCCGGTTTCCCCCACAGTCCTAAGACATGTGGTACAGGTGAATTGGGTAGGCTAAATTGTCCGTAGTGTATGAGTGTGAATCAGTATGTATGGATGTTTCCTAGAGATGGGTTGCAGCTGGAAGGGCATCCGCTGTGTAAAAAATGTGCTGGATAAGTTGGCGGGTCATTCCGCTGTGGTGACCCCGGATTAATAATGGTACTAAGCTGAAAAAAAAAAATGAATGAATGAATGAATGCACTGAGAAATGTGTATATTGTATGCAAGTATAATGCATCAATTATCCTTCTATCTACTATACATTTGATATGCCTATGTACAATATCTCATATTATTGTTCTTTGTTTTTGTTTTTCTTTATCTGCATTGTTAAAATTGTATATTTAACTAAATAAAAGAAACATAAAAGAAATTACAATTAGAAATTCATCTTCGCCATCACAAGAATTGAATACATTTTTAAACACAGTCAAGCAAAAAAATCCAAATTCCTCACTTTCGATCAGATTACTCCTCAATTTATAATGAGTCACCACAGCAGAATGAACCGCCAATTACTCTGGAATACGCTTTACTCTGCAAATACCCTTCCAGCACTGAGAGTAAACTTGGATACAAAATATTTAACAACACAAATGTACAGTCTCAGTGAGCATAGAAGACATCCCCAAAAACAGACATTAACATAACTTTTCACTGCCCTGTAAAACACTTAAGAAGGAGAGCACAAGCCAGAAACACCGACATTAATGCAATAAAACAGCAAGGGCTGATTTTTTAAGCAGATTACGGCAGACATCAGTGCCAGATCTTCCCTCAGCTTCTCCAGCACCCAGTGCAGCACGGATGAGTCCATCACATCTATCTAATCTACATCTACAGCCCTGCGGCTTTCTGGACTGTTAGTGAGCCAAACGCACTAATGAGGACCAGTGATCTGACGAGAGTTAAAGTGGAATCGAGAGCAGATAGGAGAAGAAAGAGACAAAGAGAGAGAGAGAGAGAGAGAGAGAGAGAGAGAGAGAGAGAGAGATAAGATGAAGAGAAAGTTCACCACATCTTTTAACTCTATGATTGGTGCTGATGATGTCTATCATAAGCAAAAAACTAACTGCAAAGTTTAATAAGGAGCAGAGCAGCTCCAAATGTTTGATCTGCATGTAGAAACAGTAGTAGATCATAGAATTACTCGAAATAGTAGTAGTATATATACATTGGTAGCCGAAATTATTAGTACACTTGGCATATCTGAAGGGATAGGTTGTTTTTGTGAATGACATATCAACTTGGTATAGTATATTATAGTCACTGGCCACTTTATTAGGTACAACTTACTAGTACAAAGTTAGCAGTTGGCATAGATTCAACAAGATTTTGGTCCATATTGACATGATAGCAGTTGCTGCAGATTTCTTGGCTGCACACCCATGGTGTGAATCTCCCATTCCACCACATCTCAAAGGTGCTCTATTGGATTGAGTCCGGTGACTGTGGAGGCCATTGGAGTATGCTCATTGTCATGTTCAAGAAACCAGTCTGTCATCTTTATGACATGGCACGTTATCCTGCTGGAGGTGTACAGCCATCATTATGAATAGGCCATAAAATGGAAGAATGTTAGAAACCAGTAACCATTGACTTTCCAACATTTTTTCTAAATAACTTATTTTGTGTTTAACAGGGGATAGAAACGTAAACTACTTTGTGACAAATGAAATTTCTGACAATTAATTTACTACCCCTTTAAGAGAGGCTTCAGTTGTATTATAGTTTTATATGTTATAGTATAATATAGCCATCATTATGAATAGACCATAAAATGGAGCAATCATAAAGAAATTTAAGGGTGACTTGGTGGTTCAGTGGCTAGCATGTTCGCCTCACTGCAAGAAGGTCGCTGGTTTGAGTCCCGGCTGGGCTAGTTGGCATTTGTGTGGAGTCTGCATGTTCTCCACATGTTGGCGTGGGTTTCCTTCGGGTGCTCTGATTTCCCCCAAAAGTCCATAGATACGTGGTACAGGTGAATTGAGTTAACTAAATTGCCTGTAGTGTATGAGAGTGTATGGGTGTTTCCCAGTGCTGGGTTGCAGCTGGAAGGGCATCCACATAAAAATTATGTCGGATAAATGGGCGGTTCATTCTGCTGTGGCGACCAAAGAAAGAAGGAAAATTAATGAATGAATGAAGGAATGAAATTTAAGTCATTTTTCATATAAAAATGTGCTCAGACATAAACTGCCCACAAAAAAAAAACAAATTTACACCTCTTAGAAAAGTATTTCAACACCCAAACCAACTTGATTCAATATATTTAACGTGTTTACAGTATATTTGATATGTATATTCATAAGTTATTCTACTATGTGAAAATGTTACATTTGTTTACACTATATGATTGCATATTTTGCTTGAATATTATAAACATGCAAACTTGTAGCCTGCCTCACCACAATCACAGCACCTTTTTTTATAGTGTCATCCTTGTAATTGCTCCAAATAATAAACACACATTTATAATAAATCCCATTTACTTTTTATTCTACAAAATGCAGTATTGCGATCATAACTTTGTTTATCTACAATGTTGATAAGTAAATAAAAGAAGTACAGTTCACCTCATCTGATAGAATTGCTGTGCTCAAAGCAACCATCTGTATGATTTATGAATTAGTACAATTTTATTGTGTTTTGGGGGCAAAAAGGTTTTCATTTTCAGATATGTTAGGTGTGCTAATAATTGGCCAACATTGTATGTTTACTGTTATATCAGCTTCATTGACTTTCAAATGGCAGATATATTGACATTTCTGTTTCACATGAAGAACATTTAAAACATATAATAAATAGAATGAAAAACAATATAGACAATATTTCATAAATTTTGATAAATATTGTAAAATAATTTATAATTATATCTTTAAAAGTTTGTCCAGATAATAAACTGATTCATAACATGAAAAAATTAGCAGT